AAATGTGGGCTATCGGGATTGTGTGCAATAAGTGTGTGCAATCGAACCTGTAGGCAATCGTTTTGTAGGCAACTGGAGCCCTCCCCATTTATTTGAGCGCAATAACATTCATCACGTAACTACAAAATAAAAGTTTATGCTAATCTCTTATCTCTGATAATCTTGAAAAATTATTAGATAATAAAGTTGTGAAGCACTAACTTTTTGTTGAAACTGTAAAACTGAAAGAAAAAGTATCAAAAACTCTTAATTTTGATTTGAGCAGTTAATATAATATTTTAAATAAAAATTTTATATGGAAATATTGTAAAATTTATAATTTTCTTTAAAATTTAATTAATTTTTTTATTATAATAATATTTATGTGATACCTCATTAGAGACTTCCATATCTTGACTAATATTAAACGCTTAAAGGACAATGTGTCTTTTATATATGTTTAATATATCTATCGATTGCAGATATGTGTGAGATTCGAAGGGTAATAAAAATAAGAGTATTTATGAAATTATAATAAGAAGATTATTGAAGATTAATTTTCTTTGAGGCTAGTTTGAGACCACTTGTTTAAAAAATTCCTTATTAATAAGTATTGGTTTTATTGAACTATTTTTACTTGTCTAAAAATCTTTTAAAATTTAATATTTATGAAACTACGAGAAAAGTACAAAAGTTATGCAAAAGTGTTTCATATGTGAATTTAAAAAAAAACATAAAATAATTACGAAAAAATGTATTACACGAAAAATATTATTACTAAAAATCATTGAAAATAAAATATTGCATAAAAAAATATTACATGTACCTATGTACATATTGTACATCAATACCATAAACTATGTTATATAAATATAGTACTATTAAATACTGCTAAAAAGTATTATGAATATATAAAATATTATGTGACCATTTCTCCTTCCAATCTAATTTTTATAAAAAATTCTTTTACAGCTCCGCCACGAGTACAAGCACTTTCGAAAAATCGCGACCATCGGCTGAACGGAACCGGGGCAGCTATTAGAACTTACGCTCTTCAACTTGCGGCGGACAAGACTACAACCTTCTCGCAGAATATCGACAACTTTATTCAATGTACGCGAGAGAGCAAGGAAGCGATGCCGCATGTGGTGATGCGCAATATGCGGCAATTCATGTCGGGTATGAAGAATTACTTGGTGAAGCATGGCGAGCGTGGATTCGAGAGCGAGGTGGAAAATGAGCGATCGAAATTACGGCCGAACGAGTTCCTCAATCTCGATGCCATTCTCGAGGATGTGATGATGGGCCTGGTGGTGAGGCCCCTGCGGGAACACGTATGCCGGTTGTTTATCGAACATTATTTTGCTACCGGTGCGCTACAGACCCTGGCAGAGAACATCCAGCACGCCCAGGGCAAGACCATTCACGACCTCGGTGTTCAGGTAACTAGATTTCCCTAATATTAAGAAGAAAAGAAAATTTCAGAGAGCATCGGAATATAGCTTCATGAAATTTATAAAATTTATTAATGAAAGAGATAAAATTTATCGCACCTAAATCTCGATTGTTTTGCACGTGCAGTCGAAAATCGTACCCCCTTCGGAAGAGAGTCTGGACCGCATTCTCAAATACATCGAGCGATTGCAGAGAACCGATTCTCCACTCGAAAAGCTAGAACACCTATTGGCAGCCATCTCGGCCATCTTCAACTCTGTAAGTTCTATAAAACGTAATACTGTTCGTAGAAATATATAAATATATAACAATATATTTTCTATTAATATATCCTTTTAGTATTTATTATTATTACTTTTTGTCATTTTTTAATACAATATTGCTAAATATAGATTTACAGAATAAATATATTTATTAAAAATTATACACGTTTCTTTTGTTTTGATATTCTTTTAATGTTTTCATTATATTTTACAAATAAAATAATATAATAAAATTAGTAATTAATAGATAACCAATAATTTAATACGATGATATGAAATTTTTTAATTGTGATTTCGCAGGTGAAGCAAGCTAACTTGGGCAGGCATGTTACACTGGGCGCTGACGATCTTCTGCCGCTGGTGATCTGGGTTTTAGTACGCGGTAAAGTGGTGGACGCGGAGATCGAAGCCGAATACATGTGGGGCCTGCTACATACTTCCCTTTTGAGCGGCGAGGGCGGCTATTACCTGACAACGCTGTCGAGTGCGGTGCACGTTCTAAAGACCTTTAAGTCCAAACAGAGCACCATGTCCACGTTAAACGTAAGGAATAAATATCGATGATTACATCTTGTAAGCCGGATTAAGTTGATGTAAATTACAATTAAATAATCATAAATGTCCAATCTGTCACGCACAAGACCTTTTAATCTCGTGTCATTGTCTTAAAATAAAATGTTTTATTTGGTTTTGTAGATTATTAGATATAACATGAAGTCATAATATGTAATATTCATTTATAAATCATTATTTTGGACACAATTCAATTTTTCTAACACATACACACACACACACACATCCCTAGATATTATTGAAAAATTTTTGATAATTAGCCAAATAAATTCCATTTTATTGACTATCTACTATTCGAACAAAAATTAACAACTTTCTCTTCTGTGTAAATAATCAAATATAATAACATATTATTCAAATATATCTTAACACTTAAAGACTTTCTGAGTTACTATATAAATAGGTTACTATATAAATAGATTAAATTTTATCTAAGGAAAATTTGAAAATATCAAATTCAATCATTTTTTCACGGGAATATCATTTTTGTTTAGGGATGTGGAACACCGGACTGTTCGTCTGTGTTGCGGATCTTGGTACCGGATGAGTTGCATGGTTCTTTAAATACTAGAACACTTCCGGTGCGACCAAACATGAATACCAGAGAAATCTGCCGCATCCTTGCGCATAAGATTAGATGCACAAATCCTCAGGACTATGGGCTCTTCAAGTTGGTGCATGGGGAAGGTGAGCGCATTTAATGTAAAAATAAATATATTTGAAGTACTATGAAATAAATTATATTTTATATTTTCTCTAATATAAAATATATTATAGAAAAATGTCGTGCAATAGTAGAATTTGTAAATATTTAAATAGATATTCTTATTGATTGTTTTTATTTTAACTATTATTTTATTTGTTACATCTCTATTTTTATTATGCTCGTTATTTTTATAATGTTAACATCATAAAAATAATTATTACAGTAATTTTAAATATTAATACTACTAATTATTATTTACTAATTACCACTAATAACAGTGAAATATTAATTATGTAATATTGCATATTGATTTTTTTAAATTATAATATATTCAAATTATATAATGACTATAACATTTGTATTTTTTGCCGGAAATTGTTTTAGAAACGTTGCTCGGAGATCATGAATGCCCACAGGAGCTCTCTCACTGCCTTTTCGCCTACAAACGGATCGACGCCAAGATAGCATGGCCCAAGACCAGTTCTTAAGAGAGAATAGCAAAGTATTCTATCAACTTAAAATTAACTTTTAGACACCTCTGTTGTGACTCGATATCCCGCTTTTCAAGATATAAGTATTATATCTTGAAGATACATGGAAATTTATTGAAAAATATCATATTTTTTCTACAAAAACATCTCTTTCAAGATTTTGAATATTGAATCACTCAATATCGTCTACATATTCAAGGATTTTTGTTAAAAGTGTATCTTGATAGAAATCCTTTCGACACTGCCATTTTTATAAAGCGTTTGTCATAAAAAATTAAATGTGGATAAACTAGAATTTTTATCATTCGCGTGAGTAATGTAGGTATTTAACTGCAAAGAAAAATTAAGTAATCTGAATTACATGGTCATTGGAAAAAAAGAAAAAATATAAATGAGTTTTGTAAAATTTTTCTAATTGGGATAACGTGATTTTAAACAGTATCATGCAATGTACAATTATTGATTTTTTATATTTTAACCCTCAGCAGATAAATGGAGTTTAATTATTTGGATTCAAGAATATTAAAATTAATAGTGGAATGTTAAAGATAAATTTTGCATACAAAATAATTATAATAAGTAATATAAAGTTTTTTTATACTCTAATATTTATATATAACAAATAAATAATAACATGTTTCTTATCTTCTTCAACTCAATCTTTTAATTGTCTAATTTTCTAATATCGATAATTCTTCTTAACAAGGTCGTGTAAGAATATTAGGAAGCTAATACCAAAAACTTAATAAAATTTATATTTGTGCGGTTTTTATAATAACCTAATTTTAATATCTCTTTATTTAATGAAATTTTATACTGTTTACGATTCCTGAGGGTTAATATATTAAAATACGTACAATTAAAAATCGCGTTATGCGTGCAAAACTATTCGCGACCAAATATCTACTTACCGATATTGACTCGACGGAATTGACCACTGATTAAATTGCATCGGGTGTAAAGCCAAAAGAAAAAAAACGTACAGCTGTGTACATACATGTGTGTGCAATTAACGATAATCTCGAGACGCGTATACATTTGCAATTGCACGCAGGATACACGCGCGCGCGCGCGCACGCGCACACACACACACACACACACACACACACACACACACACACACACACGATGTATCGTGAAAAGTCGTATTGTATGTATTTACTCAGTATTCAATGTCTCGTGGACGTCTGCAATAAAAAAAGGGAGGACGCTGCTATTCGGAAGCGAACCTGTCCTTGAAAGAATAAGATAGAATATTCTAAGTCCAGAGAACGTCTTAAAAAAAATAGTAATAAATTAATTTTATTAGTTTATAATTTTAAAAAACTTTCTAATTTTACTAATTAGATAGAATCGTTATTATTGTTTATTTATTCATGATAATGTAAATGAAGCGATTATCATATTTATTGATTATTCAGACAAGCCTCTTCGTATGAAACTAAAAGATTATGTTTATTATAAGAAACTCATATTAATGTAAAGTTTGTTTAATTTTTTATTTAAAAAATACAATTTTTCTACTTACTTTAGCATTTTCTCAGAAATCTGATTTTAATCGATAAAGTTGCTTATTTTGTTGTTATACAATATACATATAATGGCATAAATAAGAGAAAGCTTTTTATTAACTGTTTATATTTTCAAAAAATTTTCTTAATGATAATTCACTCATTTTTATATTAATATTTTATTTGAAATCTTTATTGATATACCATGTCTTAGAACTTTTTCCTAATAATTATATAGGAATAAAATCGAATATTTAAATTAAGGTAACATTACTACAAAATTTTGTTTTTAAATTAATGAAAGTACTTACAATATAATAATATATTGACATAATGATCACTATAATAATACGCCGATGATCTCTGGACTTTGACCGGCTTTGCGAGTATTATACTTTATATATATATATATATATATATATATATATATATATATATATATGTGTATATATAATATTTATATGCATATATATATAAAAAGAATAATGCACAGATTTTTCCCTAATACACATATAAAGGAACGCGCAAATTACTATACGTTTTCTATATAATATTGAGTGACAAAAATGATTCACGAGAAAACTTCTTAACTCGTGACCGCGAATTTTAGAATAGAAAACAAAGAAGATTAGCTTAGACGTTCTATTTTAAGTACTTTCTATGATACGAAAAAAAATCGCAAATTCTGGTAAGATAAGCAATCCGTAATCTTAAGCAAACGTCGTGTATTTATTACTACAAGTTGTAGACAGATTTTTATTCATATTTTTCACATGTGATGCCTCCCTTATTGCTTCTTTTTTTTCCTGCAAAAGAATTTGCTAGGCTGATTTTTTAATCTAGATGGCTGTGTATAACTCATATATGTGTCAATAAAATTACGAGATAATAAAAAACGATAATACATATGCAATAATGATCAGCTGTGTGAAATTAGAAAATATAAATAAATATCAATTATACTTTAAATTCACAAGAGATCGCGATGGCATCTTTTAAATTTACAAAAATAATACGGAAAATATAAATAAATATCAATTATATTTTAAATTCACAAAAGGTCGCGATGGCATCTTTTAAATTCACAAAAATAATACAAAAAATATTTTGCTAATGAGAATCGTACAAATCAGCCTCGCATTCTTTTACTGTCTTTTACAATTTATGCACTCGTTACATATGTAATAATAATTAGCAGTTTATAAATGTACATTTTTCCACATAATTTATTAAACACGTTTTTTTTATTATATCTATAATGTATTCGTGATCTTTGCGTAAACGTGCTTTCGTCCTTTTTCCACGATGATTAACACGATAATTTTAATGTCGATAATATGCTTCTAATATGCTAGTCAAACCGATACGAGTTCGAAAGGTTTATTAAAAATTACACTTAAGTAAATAACTTTTTATTTGTTAAAGAAACCTGTACCATTAATTAATTACCATATTATTATACACTTGTCATCAATGATTATTATTATCATTGTAATATGTAAGTCTATGCTCAATAAACACTTTTCTATTATTCGAATGGATCCCTATATCTTGAAAAACTACCAATTATTATTTTTATTTGTAATAAATATGTGATATTTTGAAATAAGAATTCTTTTTAAGGTTCCATCTTGCAGTTATCATAATTTTGTACCGTTATTATATTAATATATAGAAAAAGAAAATACATTATAAGTATATTTATATTATATTGCAATACCAACTTTTTATAATTTTTCTATTTTATTCTATCACCATTTATTCAGTGACAGCTGAATGTATCATCAGTTCTATTTAATCTACAGTTCAACGGAATTACCATTATGTATTGTTGATATTCCATAACTGATTCACGGTTATTTATAGCTGCACTTTTAACGATGGGTAAATCTGAAGAATAGTGGCCTCCTCACCGATTTCGTTCAACTTGAGCTTAATCGACGCGTTTTTGCCGTTTTTGCACGAAACGACCGAATCTGGCAGAAAAAAGTGTCGCTCTGCCCCGCGAAGCGAGATATTAACGGTTAAAGTTGACAGGAATCAGGTTATGATTCCTGTCATACCGACGAGATGCAGCGACTACGAACTACGACCATGCCCTGCGGCCACACGCGCATGCTGAGTGGTCGCACGCGCATGTAAAACTGCGCCAATTTTGAATGAATCAATCGTGCAGAATAACGAGAATAACCAAGCATCTCGATTCAAGCAGTTAGGTTCACGCTGAGAGTTTCATTAGTTTAATTATGCGTGGGAAGCACACACACACACACGGGGGGGTGCGAGGGGGGCCTTCGGCCCCCCCTTCCCCGCACCCACCCCGTCGGTAGGCAGCGTGGACCTCGCTTTACAACATAAAGTACATGTTAAGTTGTAAAGCGAAATTATAAAGTACATGCATGGAGGGGGGGTGCAGGGGAGAAAAGCCTTCCTGTTCACGTGCGCTCACGCATGTAAGCCCCCTTGCACTCCTCCATGCATGTGCTTTATAATTTCGCTTTACAACTTAGCATGTACTTTATGTTGTAAAACAAGTTCCACGCTTTCAACCACGGGGGGTGCGAAGGAGGGGGGGCCGAAGGCCTCCCTCGCACCGCCTTGTCTGTGTGTGTGTGTGTGTGTACCCACGCGAAACGAGGTGCCACATGGATTCATGACGCGCTTTACAACTTAGCATGGGGTGCGTTCAGCCGATACTCCGCTAGCCTAGCAATCGTGAGCAGTCGCTCGTTT